CAGAGGCGCCCGCCACTTAGCCCCAGTGACAGCTCTCATTTTCCCTGAAGCAAGTTGTCAGACCTAAGCATCCCTGAACAAGTCTCAAGCAGACACAGAATCGCAGGGGCCAGTCATGCCTTGGGGGTAAGGGTGGGGTAGATGAGGCCGCACAGCCCAGAAAGGGCAAGCGATTTATTTGCACAGGTGATACAGTAAGTTAGTTAATGGCTGGCACCACAAAGGGCTTACCATTGGTACTCCTTGGCTCTTGGGGAAGTCCTGTGTATATGTCAATAAAACATTGTTGGCCAATAGGGAAGAAAGATAGGTGGGACTAGGAGTCCAGGAGGACTCTGGGTAGGAGAAACACAGGAAGTCAAGATGTAACCGCCATAGGGATAAGAAGCCCGGAAACTTCTCCAGTAAGAGAAATACTTAGATTAACAATTATGGGATAAATACTTAAGTCAGAGCTAGCCAGTAAGAAACAAGCAAGGCCAACAGCTTCATAATTAATATAGATTCCTGTGTGTTTATTTGGGGACTATAACGTGGCAGAGCCCAGGCGACTGGCGGGGGGGGGGAAGGACCAAGCAGCAGACAAGGAAAAGTCTTCTCTCTACACTTGGCTACCGTTTACCAAACACACTCCTGCTTTACTCATGCATAGCAACTGAATTCTCCAAACAACCTGCAGAGCACACATTTCCATCTTGGATTGGTAGAAGAGACCGCAGAGAGCCAGAGGAGGCTTGAGGACACACATCCAGCAAGTGGGGAGCAGAGACAGGAGCTAACTCGAAGCCCGCTCTGCAGACCCGCCTGCGGAGCTCTCGGAGTTGTGCCCAGCTTTGGAGCACCAAACCAATTCCTGCACAGAAGACAAGCGTGCTGACTGCGTACATCCGAAACTCACACATTCTGGGCCATCACACCCAGGGAGCCCTCGGAAACTCTCGGGGAAGTTTCACGGGCTCCTATGGTCTATTCAGTGCACGCGTACACTATTACATTTTTATGAAGTTGATCACGGCGGGAAATACCTGTCTCCCCAGCACTTCAGAGGCTCAGGCCAGCCTTAGCTGTGTTGTAAGGCCACAAATACATAATGAATGCATGATACCCTCAGCATGGTCAACACTTTCTCGTCCATTCTGACCTATGGCTCTACAGTTCTGAGTGCTAGCAGGCCTGGAATTATCTTCACACACCCCTCCCCCCCAACACTTGAAACAACAGCAAGCCTTCACAAACCTCTCTCCTGTCCCTTCTCCTTCCCACAGCGGGTTTCCTCGGGGTTTCCAGGCTGTTTTTTTCCAACAGACCCCTTGGCCTTCCTGTCCCTCGCTTCCCCTCAAAGTTTATGATTGCCAAATTTGGCTGGATAACTTTGAAGAATCCCTTTTCTGTTGTCTTCTCAAACCAGAAAGGGAGGGTAGGAGGCCAGGGCAGGTCCCCAGAAGTGAGGAGAGTATGGGCTTTGGGGCCAGGTGGATCTGCTTTGACCTCTGCATTATCTCTGCCTAGTTCTGAAGCCTCAGCACTCAGCTAGCTTGGGCTGGGTACCAGTTGTCACTTAGCCCTGCTCAGTGAGAGAAAAACCGATGTGCTTGGTGGCTGTTTTGTGTGTCACCCTTGTGGTTATAGGTGACGTATTTAGTGGACACTGAGGCTCCTGACTTATGGTCTCTGGTTTAGAAGATGGTTACAGGGATGAATTTTTAGCTCAAGTGTTGTAGAAGAGCTCTTCCTCCAAAGGGCAGGCTGGCCTCTTAGGTTTTACATTCATGCATGCTGTGGCCAAGGCTGGCGGCTATGTGTCCCCAAGGATGGACCCTGCTTTACCCCTGGTTGAAGTTCCTGTTGTTATCTCTCTCTGTGATGTTCTGAAATTTGCACGGAGAACCTTCCTCTCCGTAGGCAGACATGCGCCATGCAGGGAAGACACAGTTCTATTGTGGGATGCCATCAGGGTGGGAGATGTAAGCCCCTTGCACTGATGCAGACCCACAGTGGAGGGGGCGAAAGACCTGAGGAGCAGGGCTGCTGGAAACACAGACACTTTCCCTACGGCAGCTGCTCCCTCTGAAACACTCAGTGGGCAGACGTGCTCTGTCCAGGGTCATCCAGAGGACGGACAGCATCCTGATCACAGCAGAGGGCATTCTGTCTGAAGTCAAGGGCAATGGAGCTTCTACACGGGGACCAGCGGCAGTCGGACCAGTCCTTGACCACCCCCTTGTAAGATACAAGAGTAGTGTCTGCTCTTAGGATGCGGGTGGGAAGGCATCCTGGCACACGCCACCCACCTTCCCACCATCCCAAGAATATAAGGCTAGAACTCGCGTTCTCTCCAGTGGGATTCTGTAAAAATGACGATGGCTCTTTTCTCTTATTAGTAACCTTCCGTGAGCCACGGAGTCTTGATTGCTAGAATGAAGAGGGATAAAAGGCTCTGGAGAGAGCCACTCTCTACCGATCTCAGTTATCAGAAGTGGGAACTGAGGTACAGGCCACACAGACAGCCTCGGCTCCAGGACTGGAGGAGAGGAAGGTGACTAGTCACTGCAGGCCCTCCACCCGGACCCCAGGAGGATGCACTCACTCCGCAGAGAAGGGGAAGGAGGTCAGCCACAGGCAGGGCCGGTGTTAATTAACTCAGCTCTCTCCTGCCCTTTTCTTATTGTTCCTAGAAGCAATTAGTCTCCTGTACCTTCTCTCCACCTCTAGCCGCTGTAGAAAACTGTCACAGATTAAATCAAATCGTTCAGTCATTTCCTCAGGGAGGCCCCAGATCCCCTGCTTCTGGGCATGGCCACTCTGCTCAAATAAAAGCCTTTAAACGGTAACTTAACCCCTTCCTGGAGGCGCAGTGGAGTGGTGAGCTATGCTATGGTGTGCATTTGAGGTAACTGGACTCCCTGTGGCTCAAGGGGCTCTTGGGTCCTTTTGACAGGAAGAGGCAAGAGAGGATAGCACCTCAGACGCTGGGGAGTGAGGTAAGATCAGAAGGCCCAGGCCTAGGGAGGCCCAGCTCGTCCTGCACCCTCAACAGCTAATGACTTTGGGTTTATCTCTCTGGAAAATGTAGGCTTCCAATGTTCCTATCTTCCTTCCTCCCCTCCCTCCTCCCTTTCTCTTCTCCTCCCTCCCTCCCTCCTCCCTCCCTTCCTCCCCCCTCCCTCCCTCACTCACTCCCTCTGAGTGTTAGGAACCTAGGCTCCTCAAACAGCTCACAAACACTTGAGAAGTGGGGAGAACTGGGAATTTTAAAAATGGCAGCATATGTGCTATGTCTGGTCAGCAGATCCTGCCTTTCGGAGGCCCTTGGCTCAGGGTTGGAAGCCCCAGAACGGTCCACTGCTCTGGCAGGGGAGAGGGGTTAAGTCATCACCCATCCTGCATGTAAAAACATTTCACAGAGTACTGTCACCCACTCTCTATTCACGTCCATTTTGTCCTCCTTGCTTCTCAATAGATGAGGGACTCCGCCACCTGCTTCCCTTCCTCTGAAGTTAGGAAGTAGTGCGAACCTCCCTCTGCCTCCTCTTCGAGGCCTTGCCCTCAGAGCAGGGCTTTTTCTAGAACTTGTGCACACAGGATTTGAGATTTTAAGCTTAGCAGTGAGTCAAAACCCATGCTCACTCAGTCAAAGCTATACTTTGAATTTTGGATTCTGATGTTATCCTCCCCCCCCCCAGGCTCACACCTGTGGTCCTATCTTCTCTCTTCGTGATGTGCAGCCGGAAAGACCCCCATGCCTACACGGTGCTGCGTTGTTGAGTTTCAGGGTCTAGGTTGGGCACACGAATACAATTGTGATTTGTGATATTCTCAGCATAGGTGGGGTTCCCGAGGAGCTGGCCCTGTGGCTAGCGACTAGCTGCATACACAGAGTATAGATCTGCAATCTGAAGCCAGGGTCTGGGAGATGCAGCCTGCTTCAAACTCATGAGGCCGTGCCCCAAGCTGTGTACTTAGAACAAGTAGAATATGTCTCCTGTTGGACTGTGCATTTCCTGAAACAGGAACCACTCTGTCCCTATTAGTGGGCACCTCCTCTGCGCTTCCCAAAGACTTTCTTCCCTGAACCAAATCTCTGCATTCGAATGCTTGTCGATATCACGACCGACAGTCAGGCCACGGCCGGGTTTCACTGGCTTTCTCTCACTTAGTTTTTGTGGCAGCTACCCCAAAGCTGCCCTATAACCCCCTACAGCAGGCAAGAAAATGTTAACGGTTCTCCAGTGAGACTTCAGCATTGTAGCCTGTGTGGGGCTCCGGGAGAGCCATGGTGAGGTAACCAAGACAGCAGCTCCTTTACCTGAGTGCGACTTACGCTCAGCTATTGTTCCCCCTTTGAGACTGTTTTCCTCAAGGACACGGGGCTCCACCACGGTCAAGGCTACAGTAGAGGTGAGTGTGTACGACAGCGTGGAAAGCATACACCAACCACGTACCACACACACCAGCTGCGTAAAGGGTGCGGTCGTGAGGCTGGCCCTGGCCACCCTTTGCTAACACAGGTGTGGAAATTCAAACAGTTAAGAACGAGTCAATCCAAAAAGCCCCCAGCCTGGCAGGGCCCTGCCCCTTCAGGCTGTGGGACCTTTGCCTCCTAAGTGTGGTGTGCCTGGATTCCTGGGCCGTGAGAGCTGCTGGCTAGCATCTGTAAGCACAGTTTCTCCGGGGAGGGGGCTACCTGAAACGCTGCCGAACCTCTCCAGCACCCCCTGCTCTGCACAGCAGCCTTGTGGAGGAATGGAAACTTTTGCCACCAACAGCACTTGTTAGCAGCTTCCTCCTCTGTGGTTTTTCTCTGTCATCCCCTTGATAAAAGGACTTGCGCTGGGCCTCTGCAAACAACACTCATGCATCACATCGTGACATAAAAACAGCCACCTTTCAAGAAGCAGGCTGCCTGAGAGATGGTGCACCATGAGCTCTGAACTAGGTCACTCACCACTCAGGGAGCTCTGGGTGCGCCTCATTCTACGCCTGTGTCTCTCCTACTGCAGGCTCTCGGGACCCGTTTCCACAGCCCCAGGACAGACAGAGATGGGAAACAGCATGAAATCCACTCCTCCGCCTTTGGAGAGGCCAGCACCCAGCACCGAAGGTAAGTCCGACGTCTCTGGAGAGGTGTTTAGCTCAGTCCTGCAGTAGACCTCGGGAAAGCCTACGCAATGGTGGACGGGGTGCCTCCTGAAACGGGGCCGTGGGTGCTGGCGCTCCGTTGTACCGGTCCCTCACTTCTTGCTTCGGATTTTTAATAATGAACATTTGTAGCGGTTGGAGCCTTGGCAGTTCCAAAGTGCCGCCATTTTGAGAGAGATAAGTGGGCTCCATTCTTTTATTTTATGGTTGGCGAAACCAAGACTCACAAAGGGAACGCTGGCCACGTCATTAGCTACTCACTGAGACCCAACCCAGGACCGCCTGATTCCGAAAGCCAGGCTCTTGGTCATCCCACTGGCCAGTCCATGATAAATCCACCCCGGCCCGGTACACAGCTCATCTTGGGGGTTTGTGTGGTCAGGGCCCCTTTACTAATCTAGACACTGTCTCCAGGACTTCCTGCTGAAGAGAAAGACATCTCTTGTCTAGTGAAGGCTGCGAGAGACTAGAACGCTAGGGGAGAAGCCGGGGCTGCCGGTGAATCAGGGTGGCCAAGCTCAGCTGTGTGTCAAGAGCAAGGTGGCACCAGACCTCCAGAGCCTCAAGGGGTCCTTCAGCAATTGGCCACAGGGTGGGGGTGGGGGGATATAAGTGAGCAAGAGGCAAGGCTGGTCATCGGGATCCACTGAGTCCTAGGGTCAGCTTCGTGTCCTGTCTAACACCCTCATCTTTCTTTCTGAGAGATTTTAGTCAGGCCAGTGGGAGGTGCGACCTGGAGCCCCCCCCCCTAGGGAGTTGGGAGGGAGGGAGCCATCAGCGTTTGCAAGGTGAGTGTGAGACCGCAGGACACTTCTCCCCCCACCTCCCATCATGGCACGCTCAAGATCTCACTTGTCTCCTAGAAGAGACGACACCGTCTCTCCCTGTGCCCTACATGTAGCACTGGACTGGGCGTCGTTCACCGAGCTCAGCAAACCACCCTCCGTGCTGATCTAGGGCTTCTCAAGAAAGGTGCTGCCCCGCTGCTGGCCGCTGTCCTTTCCACGGCACCCGTGAGCCCTTAACTGAGGAGCCGCTTACTTTCTCTAAAACAGAGCAGGAAGCTGCCTGTACTGTTGTAGCCTGATGGTCCTGCGGATGCCAGCAGAGAACAGGGTAGAGCCCGCCCCTCTAGCCTTCCAAGTTAGATGCAGGGGACATTCCTGGGGACTCTAGATTTTCCACCCTGGCACTTCCCTCCCTAAAATAGAGGGAAGAAGGAAGAAAACATCAAGAATGGCCACAGGCCTGCAGAGGTAAGGTGGAGAGTGTGTGCCTTTCACCTCCACAACATAGTTCAGGAAGGGCTGCCCCATGCACAGTGCCCTCAACTTGTCCCCTTCCTAGCCCTCCCCAGACTGACTCTCTTCTGACCACTCCTGGATATCCATGCACCAGAGAGTGGGCAGTATAACGTGACTTCCTCCAAGTCCATTGCTGAGTTGCCTCTTCTCGGCCTGGGTGAGACGGGCCTGTATGCTTGAGCAAGCCTCACGAAAACATCAACCTCCAAGGACTTGCCCGCTTGCCTTTAGTTTTTTTTTTTAATGCAAATTGCCATGGAGCACATTTTTTCTCCCAGTCTTTTTTTTTTCCCACTGTGTGGGCAGGAGGTCACCTCTAAGAAGGAGGTTCAGGGGTCTCCCCTCTGGCTACTGGTTAGAAGAATTCCCCAGGCCTGTACTGGGGGTGTAATCCAGATAGTCAAATCCAGCGTTTGATAGGCTGCTTTAGTGCCCCGCCCTGGAGCTTCCTCTGTTGTCAGGCCTGACTTGATTTCCTCATTTTCACGCATCTATTTAAATAAGGGAGAAGGCACCAGCTTGCTGCTATTCTAATAGGCTTCCATTGGGCAGTGCCTGAATTGCTGAGGCTTCAGGCCAGCCTGCAGCTACAGCTTCCTCTCATGGCCTGGGACAAATTGCTAAGGGTAGGAAAGTCCCTGGTGCTGTCCTAGGGTGCTCAAGACTGAAGAATCCTCTTGGCTTTTGGAAGGACAGTGAATGCCGGGGCACGCGGTTTTATGGTCTGTTTTCTTCTAAAACAAGCTTTCTAGAATACTCCTCATCTGTGTGGTTCCCAGGGGCTAATGTCATAAAGAGACGGTCAGATTTGGTAGGAATAATGCTATTTCGGAGGCCAAAGGCCTCTTGGAGTCCCCAGTGGTGTCCTTTAGAAACTGTGTGGCCTTGGGGAAGGCCCCAGCCTTTCATCTGGGTCAGCTACCTCAGTAGGCTACATGGCCATCACTCAAGCCTGATCTTCCCTCAAGTGTGAAGTCCCCTCAAGGGTGAACACCCCTGAAGACTGAGCTTCCTTCAAGTGTTAACATCCCTCAAGGGTGAACACCCCTGAGGACTGAGCTTCCCTGAAGTGCGAACGTCCCTCAAGGGTCAACATCCCTCCAGTGTAGAAAGCAGTAGAACAGGAAACCCCAGGCACTTACTTGCAGAGTTGCAAATAGCTGAAATTTCCCAGTCCATGCAAACTTCAGACACCTCCCCTGGGTCACATTCATGCAGCACAGAGTTAATTAAAAGCCAGGGGGGCCTCCCAGGATGTTGGGGAAATACATATTTCCACCTGATGAAGACAACTTAGTTACTCCGCTGTGATGGTCCCCTCCCCCCTGTTTCTTCCCTCCACATCGCTGTGACCTAGAGTGACATCTCCTGTCAGAAATGACCATGCAAACCAGCTGTGCTCAGAAAGAAACCACCCCCCATCCCTCCCCCATGCCCGGGTGGAAATCACACCCATCTCACACGCATTTACATTGCTGATATCATGAAAAGGGAAGGGGCGGGGGAGCTGATCAAGGCAAGGGGAAGGACGCAGAGAAATCTCTAGACCCAGCAGAACCGTGATGGCGGGAGGAAGGAGCGTAGGGACGACAAAGCTGTATTTCCCACCTTGCCCGAAGGTCTTACGCCCCGAAGGCTGGCCGATCGCAGGACAGCCCCGACTCTGCACCTAATATGCATGAAAAGGTGAATGATGGGCTCATCCTGGTGTCTCTCAGTTCTCAGTTTTGTGTCAGGGATGATCGCAGTGTGGTCTGGTACCTGAGGTGTATCCCACGCAGTTCTGAGGGCTTCACGCACATGACGGGAGCCATCGCGTGCACACAGGCATCTCCCGTGAGGATAGCATCCCACATGTAAATTCCTTCAGTGACTCTCAATTCTCATAATAGCCCAACCACATCAACACTATTACCAGCCCCTTCGGTACGCAGTTGAGGAACTGAGGCCAGGAAGGGTTAAGTGAGTCTCCTGAAACCCTCTGGCTCATCAGGGAGGCTAAGCAGACAGACGGCATGAGAGGGGTGTCTAGTGTCCCCCTTGTTCTCCATCATGGTCCAGCGAAGACTGTGCTCTGAGAAGTCGTGCCTAGAATGAGGGACTATGCCTGGTCATCAGATTCAATCACACAGACACTCGTGCGCCATTGTGAGAAATCCCACAACGTTTCTGTACCAGCAACCCACTCCTGGAGCTTGGGATGACTTAAGGAGAAAGTGGATTTAACCTCTGAGTCACTTTACACTCAATGAATGTCATAAAATACAAGTTAAGCACCCTATCTAACCCATGACTGTAGATAAGAGGACCCACAGACCTGGCCAACACCCATCAGGAGAAATCGGTAAGCCTTCTTCCTCCGTGCCGACCTGCGGCTCCATCTGATTGGCTATGGCCCTGTGTTGCTTCCTGGCAAAGTCACTGAAAGTCAGGCCTCAGGGTGACCTTGCAGGAGACACTGAATTTGGAGATGACTCAGAGAGTGAGCGAGCGTGAAAGCAGAAGTTGAAACAACTCAGTCATTTAGCCCTATACCCGCTACCCACATGGGCTGCCTGCACCAGCTCCGAAGTCTCCCTTGCGTCTGGGCTTTGTCACTGGAAAATGGAGGGCTGACTGGTAAGAGCCGGACACAGGTGCCAAGAGAGCTCCATGAAGTGAGCGTAGATTTTCAGCGTCATGCTGCTCCCTGGGCACGGCACTAATTCTCTCCAGCTTTGCCTTCCCCGTCCTCCAAATAAGAGCAGGTGGCCACTGAGGCTGGGTAGAACGTGAGGAAATGATGGCTGTAGCTTTGGCTATAGCCACCGATGCGTCTACTGAGCACGCGCTGGTGTTAGAAAAGACGCTGTCGTGGCAAGCTAAGGGCCTGTTCTTTATGAACTAGGGACCATGTATATCCGGTAAGCTCTGTCTGGGCTCCTTTCTACTCTGCTCCCTTCCTCACAGGACACATTTGTATGTCGTGTTTCCCCACCCCCACGCGCTCCCCGGGTACCAGCAAATATCTGGTGTTCCAAATTTCCTTTTCCCCTCTTGCCAAGTGGAGTTTGTGTCTAGATGAACCAAAGGTGGTAAGACATCCTCATGTTGGCATTCCTGGGTAGCATGAACGCTAAGATGATCTGGCTGGAACTGGTTTTGGTTGTGAAAGGGTATGCTTGCCCTGTGTGGGAATGACCCTTGAGTCACCGAGACCAGCCTTGCATAATCCACCACAAGGCAGATTTTGATATTTCCCATTTTTATATGGGAAGAAGTCAAGCTCTGATTTGCTAAAAAGCCTTCCTTCAGATTACAGAGCTCTGAGCTGGTGACACATGGGTCAGCCCAGCTGATTCCAAAGGCTCTGGGCTTCTCGTGGCCAGTGCACATTTGTTCTGTGGATCCTGAGCCCTGCCCCTGCCCCGCCTCTCTCCCTCCACCTCACTCATGATTTGGTTGGATCTAAATGTTCCAAATCCACTTTGCCCATAAGGTAAGGTCCTAATAGGCTTATACCTCCTCTAGATGTTACATGTGCGTGCCTGCCTAAACAGGGACCTTAAACTTAGGTCAAAATGTCTGCAGCATTTTGTGAAAACTAAATTAGTCCTACCCCTGATATTTATCTCCCTGCAGGCAACAGAGTTCAGGGAAGACTGAGGGAGCCCTGCAGTCGATTTTCTCACGGTGGTCAGGCTGTCGTCCCTGGAGGTTTATGTCAAGCTGTGTGAATTCTAGTGGTTAGTCCCTTGGTGTTCTGTCTCTGGTGATAAGGGGATGGGGGCGCTATGGCATGCCCGAGAGAGCCCTTAGGCAGAAGCCCAAGTGCAGGCTGTCATGCTGACATTTCTCTGTCGTTGTGAAGAACGTTGCTGTTAGGAAAACTCCATGAGAAACTGTGGGCAGCCAGGAGCCCCACACCTTCCCTTCACTGGAACTCCTGTATTCACAAGGGGCTTTCGTGTTTTGTATATTCCTCTTCCATTTTGTTTTAGACGTTTTAAAAGATGCCTCTGTGAAGTTTCACGGTTTTAACCTTGAGGGTACAGGGTGAACACATCGAACCACAGACACCTTGGTGGGCACAGGCTCTATTTCAAGGTTCTATTTTTCTTTAATCACGGATGACATATCCTAGGAGTCATTTCAACCCTGTTTTTTTGTAAGGGGATATGCCAGTCAGTACTTCTCAGCCTGGAATACTCTGGAAACCTACTCCATAAAAGGAGGTGCAGTCCTTGTAGTTTTCCACACCCATGCCTGTAGTATTCTTTAAGTGGCAGACTCCAGGTTGGAACCAGGGCTGCATGACGCTAAACCCCCAAGTTCCTGGTGCTCTCTGAGCTCACAGCCAGGTAAGGGTATTCCTCTGACAGCCACATACATGTGCCAGGGCAACTCTGAGACACCGCATCCAAGAGCAACCTCAGGCAAAGGATAGCGGAGCATCGAGCCACTTCTGTAGGCTGGAGTTGCTGAGGGGTGGTCGGAGTCAGGACAGAGTCTGTGTGACTGGGCAGAGGGACAGCACCTAGGGTGGATCTGGGGTCTGAGAAGCAAGATAAGCCCTAGAAAGGTATGCCACCCTCAGCGGAGGCATCCAAGTGAATAAGTGACTGACTCACATTTGGGTACATCAGGCCAGGAAAATGTGTGTCTATCTTGAGAAACGTTCAGCCTATCATGGTTACGGAGAGGAAACCCTTGGTGGGTGGGGTCTTGAAAGTGGCTAGCCATCAAGTACCTGGACTCTGCACAGCTGTCCCTGGCAGCTGGGTAGCTCTCAGGGAAGATTTATGCAACCCCATCCATCCCCACTGCCCGGTCTTCCCCGTCCACCTGTGGCTCACTCTGCACTTGCACGTTCTTTCATAGGTAACCTCCACGTTTGCACAAGCTTCATGCCCCGGAGGCTGGCTCTGCCCCTTAGTGGGATTCAGGACCCCTGGCTTCCACCCCGATCCAACTTGAATGTGGTTTCTAATTTCTGGGGTGGTGTCTGGGTGGCAAAGAGAAGAGCCTCTTCCTGAAAGCTTGCTAAGGCTGAGTGTGGGGGTCATTCACCCACAGGGTCAGGCTGGCCGTGTCTCACTGAGCCAGCCTCTCAGGTCTGACAGAGCAGTCTCCAGTGACTCATTAGGACACCCACTTTTAGTTTCCTCTCGTAAACTTTTCACAGAGTTTGCTGCTCGTGACTCAGTTTCCCCAAGTGAACGACGCATGATAACCGACGGTTGATTCATTCACCAGGTGGCCATTAGTCCCTTTCCTGGAAGCTCCCTTCATCTCACTCACTCAGCCCTCATGTCCAGGCTCTTTTTTGGCTTGGTCTGCTAAGAGATTGAAGAGTTGGCCTGTGGGGACCTCTAGACCTCGAGCGGTGAGAGCTGGAGTGTCAGCACAGGTGGCCACATCATGGAAAGAGCCTTGCTGGGGACCCTGGCCTGCATAGCTGCGCACTGGGGCTCTACTGAACCTTCTGAGGCCAGGCACAAGCAGTGTCTCGTGACCCTGGGATCTAGGTTGTGGCCTCTTATAAAGCAGGAAGAAGGGGCTCAATGAGGAGTATGAGATAACCCGGAAGTGTGGATGCCCAGCCAGCGGGCACAATGGTGATTACGCCCGGTGCTTTGTAAGCGTGCGGTTTCCCTTGAATGAACCCCGGTGCTAACATGTATGAGTTATGGAAACTCTCTAAGGATGGAAGCGAACGTTGCTTTGCCGCCAGGGAGGAGATTCACATCTTATCACCGCTGCGTCTCTGTAGCCAGCTGGGCTCACGTGCACCAAATGGCATGCACGCTTACTTCCCTTCCCAAAATGCAATCAGCATCACGTACACACGAGAGCTCTTACTGGGGGGGGGGAGGCAGAATTTAGGTCATGCTGAGTCTCAGACGTCAAGTGAAGAAGTTGAAATTTTAACGCGCCTACAACAGAAAACCCTGGCGTTTGGCTCACCATGGCCAGGCCACTTAAAATCCCTGCTGACTAGACGCCTGACAGAGTGCCCTCCCCTCCCAAGAAGAAGGGGCTGTCAAACCACAGAGCCTGAGCCTCCTGGCCCTGGAGGGGACTCCCGGTTGATTAGCCAGACCCACAGGGCCAAGGAGGGCACCCGAAAACTCAGTACTAAGAATTCCTTTATCACCACGACACATGCACATGGCGTGTTTTGGTCAGTTTCAGCCCTGCTACTCACTTGTCCCTTCTCCTCCAGGACACCTTCTTCCTAACTAGACCCTCTCTTATTTGTTTGTTGCGGCTTGCCTAGTTTAAGTAGGATTGCTCCTCAGCAACCCATTCACTGCATCAGGGAGTAGCGGGGCCATGTGAATCCCTCCGAGAAGGGGCTTTTACATAGCCTTCTGGGGCAGGCGTTCTTTCACCCGTCATCCCATTTTCAAGATGGAAACACTGAGGCTCTGGTGTAACTCTAGCTTCGAGGCCTCTGGACCCGGTTTTTCAAATGGGAACACTGTGGCCAAGGTGTGTTTGTCCTAAGAGCACCTTCTGAAACTGCCAGAGGGCAGCAGGCCTGTCGTAAGGCCATCTCCGTGGAGAAGAGGCCTGGAACCCTGGGTGGGTAGGAGCGGAGCTTCACAAGTAAAAGCCAGGCGGGTCCAGAGCCTCAGCTCTAAACCTTGCTAATGCTTCGACACTTTAATACGGTTCCTCACGTTGTGGTGACTCTGCCAGTAACCATAAAATTACTTCATTGTTGCTTCATAACTGTAGTTTTGCTACTGCTATGACTCGTAACGTAAATATCTGATATACGGGATGTCCGATGTGGGACCCCCAAATCGGTTGGGACCCACAGACTGAGAACCACTGCTCCGGAGGAGAACCCCAGTGGCTCTTGTACCCGGTCAGTCAAAACCCTCCGCTTTGCTTCCTAGGACTTGAGAGCGACTTCCTGGCTGTGCTGAATGACTACCCGTCTCCTGACATCAGCCCCCCGATATTCCGGAGAGGGGAGAAACTGCGCGTGATCTCTGAGTGAGTGCGCCTCTCAAAACATGCGTATGCCCCAACCGTGACTAACCCCCATCAGGTTTTCAGATATGGTCAGTCGTCCAGGTCCCCCCGGGTCCTGGTCCTGCTGCGACCTGCCCTCTAAGTACTCCGGGGACTCTAAAGCCTCCAGTGGCTTGAGTGCTTCTATGACTAATCCTGCTTCCCTGGCTGAGCTCATCGGACTTGGAATATGCAGGGTGATGGTATTCACCAGGGCATGCTGGGATGGAGAAGCAGGGTCCAAAACCCCTGCGAGGACGAGGGCGATAACAGCACCCCGTTCTTTACGTACAGCCCCGGCACAAACTAGTCCTTCAGTCTAGCATCTCATTCATTGAGACATGCAAACGGATGTTTGGTTATACTTGAGGGAATAAACCAGTACAGGAAGCTTTTGTTTTTGAAGCCCTTCAATCGTGCATGTCAGCTGAGGAAATGAACCGCTGGTCCCCCAGGGGTGGCAATGTCAGCGTGTGAGCAGGCTCCCCAGGCGCCTTTCAGTGAGGGGTGTCTATAGCTGGCTATACAGGCTTTAGAAACTAAATTTCTGGGCAGGGGAGGTAGCTCCATCGGTAAAATGCTGGCCGTGTATGCATTGGGGACCCGAGGGCAGCGTCTTAGAACCCAAATAAAGCAACTGGGCATGAGAGCACACACTTGAACCTCAGTGCTGAGGAGAAAGGAGAGGCCTTGCTGGCTGGCCAGCCTCACCCACTTAGCAACTTGCAAGTTAGTGAGAGACCCTGCCTCTAAAATCAAGGTTGGGGCCAGCAAGGCAGCTCTGCACAAGGCTGATGACCCGAGTCCGATCCCTCAGACCCATGTAAAGGGGAAAGGAAATAATTACACAGAGTTGTCCTCGTATTTCTACATGCATGCTGTGGTAAGCACATGTCCCCATGCCCTACATCATACACACACACACACACACACACACAGGAATACATACAATAAGTTGAAAATGAAACACAGTGGGCGGTATCCCTAGAAATGACATGCAAGGCTCACTTCTGGCCCCCACATGCCCACATATGACACACACAGCATACCACGGCACACGTAAGCACACATACACACACACACACACACACACACAGGAATACATACAATAAGTTGAAAATGAAACACGGTGGGTGGTATCTCTAACTGGAGAAATGCAGGTCTGAGTGGTGATGACAGGGTTTGGAAGAGGGACGCCCCACATCGCCGTGGGAGGGTTTGATGACCACGTGTCTCTGGCTTTGCCGCTTACCCGTGCACGCCCCCCCCCTCTGCTCTGTCCCCACAGTGAAGGGGGCTGGTGGAAAGCCATCTCCCTCAGCACCGGCCGGGAAAGTTACATTCCGGGAATGTGTGTGGCCAGAGTGTACCACGGGTGAGTATGTCTGAATAGCTTCATTCAGTCGTGATGTGAGGGGGCGACTGAGGGAATCGAGAGGGCTCCAGCCTGTGTTGTGGGAGAGAGGGAGGCTTACACCCCAGCTCAGGGTTAATCCTTCCCACTCTCGGGGACTTGATTTCAGAGCAGTAAAATGAAGCAAACTGGACCTGCTTGCTCAGACGTAGCGCTCCTGTCACATAACTGAGTGCCTTGTCACATACGGGAGGCGCCTTGGTTCAGTGACTAAAAGTCTGTCTTTGTGGGTTCAAATCCTGCCTCCATCACTTGCAGATCACGAGACTGTGGACAAGCTTCTTATCTCTGTGTGTGTCCTCAGTTGTCCGGGAGAGATCACAGTGCGGGCATCATGGGGGCAATGATACAGAGCCACACTGCTGGAGTGGGGGGCTGTCAGAGAATGAGGAGGGTGCTGGGCAGTACGGGGAGCACTCTCCTGCAAACATCAGCTGTACTGGGAACACTCTCCTGCAAACATCAGCTGTACTGGGAGCACTCTCCTGCAAACATCAGCTGTACTGGGAACACTCTCCTGCAAACATCAGCTGTACAGGGAGCACTATCCTTCAAACATCAGCTGTACTGGGAGCACTCTCCTGAAAACACACTGGCTGTGATCCCTGACAAAGGCAGCCACAAACGGGGCAGCCACGCACTGCAGGAGAGGAGCAGGCATGTTTGTTCCTGCAGCCAAGGGGCCTCGCAGCCTCCAGGGAGGCTTCAGTGGGCACAGCCAAACTCACACCCGGGTTTCCCTTCTGCCATGGAAGGGCCTTGGGAATGTGGCTCCGCCTTGCCAAACCCTAGGCTCCTCCTCCGTCAGTCTACCAAGGCCAAACCTCAGCTCAAATGTGCACAGCAGAGAGGAAGGGAAGACGCAGGCAAAGGCCACTGTTCAAGCGGTAGAGACGCCACGGGCTTCCCCCGGAAGACGCCATTCAAGCTCCTGACCCCATCACTTGTGCTCCCAGCGGGGGAGGTGAACAGAGGCGGATCCTACGGAAGCCACGCCCTAAAGAGGTTGGAGTTGGGCGTGGCTTCCCAACGTGCTCGCTGGTTCCTAGAAAGCACTCTAGCATGCTCCTGTGCACTAAAGGCACTGGGCAGTCCTAGGAGCCCAGGCGGTGAGACCCCAGATGACCGGCGCAATCCTGGCCCTATCAGGCAGCCCACCTAATAGATGTGATAGCGCTCCACAAAACACAGACTTGGAAGAAAGAAACACAGTAGGATGGCTAAGGAGTTGCGAAGGCCCTCAGAATGCACAGCTTTGCTCTCTCGACAGGCCAGGATAAGTTACTTAATCAATCCAGTCCTCAGGCTCCTTTTTTTATGTGCCTGAGGGGAAGTCTCATCTGTTTAGGAGATTTAGGGAGGGTTTTAGCCTTCATAGTCATAATACACTATATATATATATATAATATATTATATCATATATATGTGCTAAAATAATTCATATGCCTACATGGCTCTTGCTATTGTTTTATTTGCAGAGTTGTAACTAGGATTTTGAGAAGGGCTTGGGTGTATCAGTGTTTACCATCTACACTGAAACTGACACACCATGTATTTTGTTGCGCTCTGTGACAGCTAGACAAATTTAAAGATACAATGTACTGTGGTTCTAACGAGGAGAACGGTCATGGTGCTGAGCCCACAGGGGAATGTAACTACCTCTGTGCCTGTGGTATCCTGGAACCCAGTGCTCAGGGACGCCCAGCCTGCCCGCTTCAACCCCAGCCCGTGTGCGCCTTGGTGAATGAGGTGGCAGCGAGACAGAGACATCACCGTCCTTCACAGCCTGAGTTCGACCCGGGGATGAACAGCCGGCGTCCACCCTTCCTCTAAACTACGGCCCCTGGTGAACTGAGGCCTACGCCGAGCACCTACCAACAACGGTGACTCACTGTCACCGTCAAGCGGCAGCGGCCAGACTCGTGCAAGCATGCAGAGGCTCAGTGGGAAGAGAGGCAGCCGGAGAGATGGCTGCTTGCTCGGTAGCAGGGCCACGCTGCACCTCTCTCCTCCCCGGTGTCGCCGAGTCCACTCTGCCGTTCCTGAGTCTACACGATGCCCTAGACACCGAAAGGGAACGCAGCAGTGCAGGGGGTAGAGGCTGCATCATCCTATGGTGCAGCTTACGGTGCATAAACCTGATGTCACAAGGTCAGAGCCTGCTCTGGTCAGTGCTGAGAAACAGGCAAGAAATCACATATATCATATATATATCCCTAGTCATTCCTCACCTAACACTGGGCACAAATAGCTCCTCAGAGCACGTCATCTGAAAGACGGCAGCGTGAGTAGGTGAATGAATGAATGAATGAATAAGAAATGAATGAAACACCAGGTGATGTCCCTCATCTGCGGAATCTGGGCAGCTTTCTGGTAACTGGCCTTCAACTTTGCTTTTAAGTCTTGTGCTAGCCTGTCTTGATTTCTCGTGGCCGCTTGACGCTGTCCCCTTGACTCCTAGCTGGCTGTTTGAAGGACTGGGCAGGGACAAGGCCGAGGAACTGCTGCAATTACCGGACACGAAGATGGGTTCCTTCATGATCCGGGAGAGCGAAACAAAGAAAGGTGAGCCGCGTGTCTTCACAATGTCTCTCAGCTGCCTCACTGTGGGTCTGTCCCCCCCACAGACCCGGGTCCTACACCAGCGCCCCCGTGTCATACCGACCGTGAGAGCGGGGGGATAGGGACAGGGCAGGCCACGGTCCCATCGACTGAGAGCTCGTGAATGGCAGACCTGGGCAGTGAGCGTGCTGACACACAGACGGGGGCATCCGTCTGGGCCTGGCCCGTGCTCGCCAGCTCTGTTTACGTCTCTGAACCCCGCGCTCCTCTGTGAAGTGCGGGTGAGACTGGAGTGGAGCGCGCGTGTTCTCGCTGCGCACAGACCCCCGGCAGCAGTTACCTCTGTGCCGGGATGAAATGGGGCGTCTCAGAGAGTAAGGGCAAGCAGGTGCGAGCTTGGAAACTCGCGGTGATCTTTATCATCCTGGTTTCCTGTGCCGGTAAAAAGAGAAAGAGCAAAGCCCTCGCCACCGCCCCGAGGGGCAGGGGGCCCAGGAGTGCAGGGCCAGCGCTGAATGGCTAGGTGGCTGCCTCCTCTCTTTATGACGGGATCCCTTGCCCATGGCGGGGTGGTGCTCTGGGAAAGTCCTCATCAACTTGCCCCCAAAATACTCCTTTATTTCTAACCAACTGTGGAGGGCTACTTCATAAAAATATTATGGGATGGGGATGTAAATGGGCAAGAGTGATTCGCAAGTGAACGCTGTAGCTACCAGAAGGTCTCTTGTAGAGTCTGGGGATATCATATATATACATATGTTATGGCCCCGTCTATGAATTACCGAGCTGGACGCTTCCCTTTTTTGCTTCTATTTTTGAAAAATACAATGATTTTTACTTTCTTCCTTTTTTAGATTATAACATAACTATATTATCCCCCTTTCCTTTCTTCCCTCCGAACCTTCACACGCACAATTTCCCGACACACACACTCAATCTCTTTCAGATCCATGGTCTCTTTTCTGTAATTGTTATTTCATATATTTATATGTACATACATGTATATGCATAAGTGTTCCTGGATACCCAAGTAAAACCTGCTTGGCCTGTATAACAGTACTTGTATGCACATTTTCCCAGCTGACCTTTCGGTATGGGACAACCAATTGTTGTGCTTCTCCCTGGGGAGGACTTTCTCCTGCTCCCAGCATTCCCTGGTTGCCTGTAGTTCTTTGTGTGGGGTTGTGGCCTTTTTAAACAGAGAAACACAACCAAGCTCTCAGCTTGGACTTCAATCACAGGAGAGTCAACATGGTATCTGTGAGTTTTTTTCCAGGACCCATTAAGGACCAGGGAGCACTTGATGCTGGGGGAAGTCACTCGGTTCTGGGGAAGCAGGCACTGTATTATGTAACCACAGATGTCCCAGAAGCAGCTTTCTCTCCAAAGTCTGCATCTCTAAGAGCTACACGGAGACAGAGCCCTATGTAGGTCTCAGGGGTCCCCTGCACACAAGCATTCAAAGCCTCGAAGGTTGGCATGACCAAGAGCATGGAAGACCCAGGGAGTCACAGCTCACCCCCAAATCACTCTGCTCTCAGTCCTCAGGCAGACCTGCAGAGGGTGAAGCCAGGTGGCAGACCCCCTCACGCCCGCCCCAATTGGGTATGCACAGTTCTCATGATTTTCTGCTTGCCAGTGCAGACCTGCTTACCACACTTCTAGTTCCTGTCAGCACGGCTAGAAGCCACTCGGTGGGTCATTCCACAGCCAGGACTCAAATGGAACTGGATATATATGCCCCTCAGGGTGGTCAGGGGGCTGAGGCTGAGGGTGCCTTGAACGTGACTTAAGCCCAAGGGTCTCACTCTCCACTTGGGGACTTCAAGGCCACAAGAGGTGATGGTACCTGCCGGGATGTTCTCCTTCACTGATGATGCTCAAGGAGAAATCACATCTCTCACAGAGTTCTCAGCGACACAGAACACATGCCAACTGACACTTGCTCCAAGTTCCTAGGAAAATCCGACTTAAATTAAGGAGCAGGGAGCATGAAGGGTAAAGAACTATGGGATCCCTTTCCTAGCATATGGTGTGGTGACATTGGGGATACAGGAGCTGGAAGCTTGCATTTGGAAAGGGTTCAGGACTACCAAGACTTCACCTGCCCTAATCAAATGCAGGAGAAGACAGGGCTTACCTCAACAGGGCAAGAGGAAGGGACACTGTCCATTCCCTCAGGGCTGGTCTAGTCACATGAAGGAGGTCTACCTAAAAGATGAGGTAAGGCTGCCCACAGGCGCCACACAGAGAACTCCAAGGGGGCATCTTGTTTTTCGCCTGGGTGATAGTGGACTAGGGAGCCTGTCACCCTTACGTGGGACGCTATGGCTGTCCCTGACCCTGCTGTCCCCATTTGCAGGTTTCTACTCGCTGTCGGTAAGACACAGGCAGGTCAAGCATTACCGCATCTTCCGCCTACCCAACAACTGGTACTACATCTCTCCAAGGCTCACCTTCCAGTGCCTGGAGGACCTGGTGACCCATTATTCAGGTAAGGGGCAGCCGGGGGCGGCGGGGTGAGCCCTGCGTGCTGGTGAGTGTGACAGTGTTTAGTAGGTGGTGTAGGTCACTGAGAAAAGCCAACAACTTTCTCCTACCCATGCTGTCACCGTCACAAGCTAGTTCATTGCCTCTGGTCAAATAAGACCATCTGTGCATGCTGCCTGGATAGCAGAGTGTCCTCTCCACATAGAGAAAACATGCCGGGATGCCCTGTATTCATAGCCACAACCACATACTGTAGACGCTTGACCTCTTTTTAAGGTGCTTGTCTCCTTAGGGCAGGGGTTCTTAACCTTCCTAATGCTGCAGCCCTTTAATAATACAGTTCCTCATGTTGCAGTGACTCCCAAACCTAAAATTATTTCATCGCTACTTCATAGCTGTAATTTTGCTACTATCATGAATCATAATGTAAATATCTGATATGTGAGCCCCAAGTGGGTCGCGGCCCCCAGGTTGAGAACTGCTCATTAGGGTGACTCTGGGGCACTGTTCTGAAGTCCCGCTCCTTTCCCTTTTTCCACTTGTCAAAAAGTTTTCAACCTTCAAGGTCCACCTCTCCCCACTTCCCCACGAAGCTGTAGATGTAGGACAAGCAGCCATTTCCCCATGCCCAGAGAAGGCCACAACCTTTCCCTCCCTAGCCCTCCAAACAGTCTTGTCCATGTTTGCCCACAAGCTCCCAGCAGAGATACACGTCTCCTAGGCTGGCCCAGACGGTGAGGACCCCAACGACGGTGGAGCACTGTGTGGCTTGTGGGAATAAGGTGCAGTCAGTGAGAGAGGCAACTCTTGCTGTTAGAATCCTGCTCTGTGGACCAGGAGGGATTAGCGGTTGACAGTCTCTGGCCCCCTGTTCTATATGCCCCGTCTGCTGGATGGCAGTTGTGCACCTGGGACTGTGTGACTCTTCCTGTCTCACTTTCTTCCCCTGCAAAGAGGATGCCATTGCTCCTACCTGTCCCGGGCACAGTGAGAATTGCTGGAAGAGGAGAGAGCCCGCACCTGGCCATGAGCGCCCACAGAGTGGCGACTGCTTTCCTTTAGCCCCTTCCTCCTCTGCTCTCCCGCCGAGCTGGAGGGAGGAGTCAATGGCTTTGTATTTGCTTTGCTAATATCTCCTTTTTCCCTCGTTCAAGATGCTTGACCTCGCCTTGGCAACCACACTAGCATCATTTAGGGTTTGGGGTCTTTAGGTGAAGAAGTGGAGGGCATTGCAAGGAGGAGGGGGGCCCATAGATGACCACTCTGACCATTGAGTCATGGCTGCTGGGAGAGGCAGATGTGTGCTCAAACTGCGTTGCAAGGGATGTTGGGTAAGGCCTTGGCCTCCCCTCCCCACACACAAAAGTGATGGGAACAGCCTCTTGCAGACTGCAAAACACAGTGACATACGCGCTGTGTCTAATATAGTCTGACAGGTGCAAAACAATGCCAAGTGTCACTTCTGTGATGGCCTCAAAGCTAGTAGCTACCTACCTAAAACTGAAAGAGGAAGGGAGTCCTGGACTTCAACTACCTCTGCCTGAAGGTTGTTTGTGGTATTTGACTCTAAATAACTATCATCTCAGGAGTGTGCTGGCCAGAAATTTTGCATAGACAATTGCAGATATGAAGCTGATGCCACCCACTGGAGCTCTCATGACTGGGAGACCATGTACTGCCGGGCTAGGCATGACCACCTCCTCCCGAGCTTCCGGACTACAGCAAGGCTGGTGCAGAAACCAATGCCTTCCTGAAAGACGCTCCTGACTGCCATGTGGGCCAAAGGGCTGTAGCCAGGGGCTCACCTCTGCCAAACGGAGGAGGGCCTGAGAACCCGGAGGCTTCCTGTATCGCATCTCAGATCTCGCTGGGAAAACGGGAACCAGAACAGAGTTGCTGGGGCCAGGGTGGATTAGATGGCGCATGGCAGCCAACAGGCAGGACAAAGCCACCTACTTTGTACGGAAAGCCATGCACCGCCTTGGGCACGCGTCACTGGTTCTGAGTCAGTGGGTCAGGACTGACGCTTACATTTCTGTGGTGCTGTTCTGTTCTGTATCCCAAGCGTGGGGCATCCTACTAACTGCAGGAACCCGAGACAGCCTCAGTGAGATGCACTGGGTGAGGGCAGCTCAGCCTTTGGCTCCCGCCACCTGCCTGTGTCACCTGGTTCACTCCATGCCACACGATGTGTGGTCGACCTAAAGCAGAATACCCCTGGAGTCCATCATGCCATGCAGTAGAGCAGCAGACCCTAGGCTTCCTGCCTACCTGTGTCCTCCCTCATCGCCTGAGAAGCCTCTGGAGATCTCCAGTCCCAACAGGTCACAGTTTCAGATGCATATCCAGTGAAGTCAACACCCAATCCGACTCTGACACCTGTATCTATCTGGGTGACTTTCGGATTAGCACGATGCCTACCTGGAAACCAGGAGAGAGGGGGGGGGAGAGAGAGAGAGAGACAGACAGACAGAGAGACAGAGAGAGATACAGAGAGAGAGATAGACAGAGACAGACAGAGACAGAGACAGACAGAGAGAGAGACAGACAGACAGAGACAGAGACAGACAGAGAGACAGAGAGGGACAGAGACAGAGAGACAGAGAGACACACAGAGAGAGACAGAGAGTGTGTGTGTAGGGGGCATGCCATTCTCTACTAGGCTGCTTCACTTCCTTAGACAGTTTCCAATGGCAACTGTCCCCCAGAGAACCACAGATCAGATGAAAAGAGGCCACCAGGTAGGGTACTCTCTAAAGTCCAAGGATGGGTGGACGGAGGCCAAGGAACCTACGTCCTTCTACAGATACGCTGTATGCCTGTCATCTTAGGCTCTGGGTCTCCCCAGGGCTGATGGCAGGGCTGGGACCCACGTCCTGCGTAAGGTGGCACCGATTCCTGAAGCCTAGGGGTTTATAATAGAATCTGTATTCCTCATGATTCCATGGAGCAGAGAGGCTTAGAGAACTCCTGGGAGTTAGCTCCTGCCTCTCCGGGAGAGATGAAACCCTGCAGGCCAGACACCATAGGCCAGCTGAGGGAGCCCTGCCGGCTTTGCCTAGTTTGTTTCGTGCCTGTGGCGTGGCAAGCGCAAGAGGGTCCTTATTCTGTGTCCTGCCCTTTGCTTCTGCCTTCTCCTCCCTCTTCCCGTCCTCCGTGCCGTATTCTGCCCTTTCGCCAGCCTCCTCCTTTGCTCCACTCTCTCGTCCCTTTCTGTTTCCTCCTCTTCCTCCCTTTCCTTCTTCTGTCCTTCCTTCGTTTGGTTTGTCTTCCTGCTCTGAAAGCATCCAGAGGGGCCAGTGCTTGCCCGGCTCCATTCTCTGGCCCAGTCAGGGACAGTGACACGGAGCTCTGCCTGGAACGAAGCCTCTGCTCTCAGATAGGCACGTGCCGGCTGCTTCCCTCTGCCATCTCCTCCCTTCCCTTCTGCAGTAGGAGAGAGTGAGGCTCAGAGACCCATGAGGTGACTCAAAGTGGAGCAAACGGTGACGCAAACCCCAGCCTGGCTGACGCTGACACCCTTTCTCTGCAAGTCAGTGCGAGCCTAGCGTTCACATCCTTCAGGACATAGCCACGCTGGCCAAACCCCACGCCCCTTTAGCATCCTGGCTTCCGTTTCCCCATGCCAGCAACAGGGACCTATACTGTCCTCTGCCTTGTCCTCCATGCTGTCTGCGGCATGCTGGGGTCATTAACGGTTGTGTACTTCCATCCACAGAGGTGGCTGACGGTCTATGCTGTGTGCTCACCACACCCTGTCTGGCACAGAACACACCTGCTCCAACAGCTCACCCACCTCCTTGCCCCACATCTGGCTCATCTGTCACCTTGCGCCAGAAGACCTTTGACTGGAAGAGGGCATCCAGGTGCGTGTGTGTGTGTGTGTGTGTGTGTGTGTGTGTGTGTGTGTGCATGCGTGAGTGAGTGTGTTTGCATGCTAGCATACATGCGTGCTTGCCCTCCGTGAACACACAGGAGCACCAGATGGGGGTGATCGCTGCATAAGAAAATCATAAGTCAGCACCTGGTTCTGCTGACATCCCCGTGGGCCCATGAGCAAGGGTAAACTCTGAATTCTGTGAAACCAACCTTGGTTGTCACATAGCATATGATGCCTATGGTTTTCTGGAGTCTCAAGCATCCCTCAAGTCCATTTTCAATGTGAACACCACATTTTTTTTGACAGAAACACAACACCCTGCTCTTTAACTATTAGAATCCAAGACAGCAGCATACAAATAAATTTGGTATAAATTTAATATTCAAAAATATCTCATTCAAAGCTTAAACATACCACCCAAATCTTAAAGTAGCTCATTCTCTCTGAGTAAGAAAAGGAAAAAAAGAACTTCTGCTCGTTTGTTCTATTTAGTCCATTGGCAGCTATCGACTTTCCAGGAGTGTGTCTGTGGGTTTGTAACCAGTGGGTGTCTCTTTAATTGAGCTTGGACCCAGGTATCTCATCAGTTATTTTAAAGCAAATCTGAGATCAGAATTGCCCAAGACACAAATGAAATGGTCATTTCTCGTGACTACCATAAAGAACATTCGTTAAGGTGTATCACGGGACGTTTGAACCTGCGCCTGAGATCAAACAGCAAGAATAAAATGCAAGAAAGAGAATCCAAACCACTTAGAGCAAGACTAACCCTGTCCCCTTCTTCCTCTCCTTCCTCTTCCTCTCCTCCTCCACTTCCCTTTCCTCCCTTTCTCTGTATCCATCCCTTATTCTGCCTGCGTGTTTCTTTTCCTTTCTGCATCTTTAAACGCACAGACTGCAGGAGGACCCGGCTGGGGCGGAGAACCCGCTGGCAGTGGATGAGTCCCTTTTCAGCTACGGTCTCCGGGAAAGCATTGCGTCCTACCTGTCCCTGACCGCGGATGACACCACCTCCTTTGACCGGAAGAAGAAGAGCCTCTCCCTAGTGTACAGCGGAAGCAAACGCAAGAGCTCCTTCTTTGCGGCGCCCCAGTACTTTGAAGATTAATACTCTGGTTGGCACACAGAAAAAGGTTTTGGCTGCCACCTTGGGGTCTTGTGGAAGCCAGAGCTCTCTACTTCTCTGTCTATCTCATGCCTCCTGGGGACCAAGAGAAGTCACGCTGAGACTGTCTTTACATGGCGATCAGAGGGACTCCTTCCTGGTATCTGATGAATACCGTGGAGCAACATCATGCTTGATTCATGATGTAAAGGGCAGCGCTTCGAAGAGCTGTGTCCAAGCCCTTCTCTGAGACCCTGTGGATAGCATCTGTCTGGGAAAGAACATGAGGAAGATGGCTTCTGGGGTCTGAGCAGAGCAACCTCTAAAGGCCTCGTGAGACCTTTGGGCTACATCTCCTCTCTTTCTCAGAGGGACCTGCGACACCAAACACTATCCAGAAGGACTTAAAACAGCTCAGATCCGAGCGGGACCTTCTGCCTTCGGGTGCACTGAAGCCACAAAGGCAGGAGTGGATGGCCATGCCACGTCACTCGAGAGTGTAGGTCAGTGAAGGGGCGATCGAGAGAGGGAGGAGGCAGCTCTGCCACGCAAACTTTTGACACAGACAGTCTTGCCCCCTCACATAAAAGCCTCCCCCAGCTACAGGGGTCCTGTGTTGTTCTGGAACCCCCATCCCTCACGCCTATTGGCAGAAGCCACTGCGCTGAGGTCAAATGGGAATAAGAGAGAGGTGAATAGTATCCCTTAGGGCTTCCTGCAGTGGCAGAGAGACAAGCCTAACAGCAGAATGTAACTTGACCATGGACCAGGAGAAAGCCTCACAGTTCCAATGGACTGGGGACCAGTGAGGGTTGCCCAAGGGGCTCTTGTTCCCATGGATCTACCCAGAATGCAAAGGCCGTTGGACCAAGTAGACTAGCACGGTTCGATGTTTCTTTCTGTTTGTTTGTTTTAAAGGAGACTGACGGGCTTTAAGCAGTTAATTTATCCTGTGTATTTTACTCTAAGAGGGGCTGGCATCTGCACGAACCAGAATGCCTCTGTCTGGGGAAGGCGGGGCTGGAGAAGCTGAGTGCCCCCATACACGATTGTGAGTGGAGAGAGAAAACTCACAGGACCCTCAGGAAAGAGAAGCCCCCAGCCGGTCTCGTGTTTATATCCTGCCTGGATGGGAGGCAGAATAGTTGTGGCCTATTCCTCCCTGTTTATCAAAGGGATTCTCAGGAAGAGGAATGAACGCAGGCCGGATTTCCCACCCATCACATGCATTCCATATACCGGGGCTCGGCCTGCAAATGGCAAAATCATGTGCATAGACATGACTTCATTCATTGCCATAGCTGGTGTTTTACACCGGGAGGCATATCTGGTCTCCTAGGTGTCCCACAAAGGCTATGGCAAGGGGACCGGCAGTGTGTGAGAAACAAATGTCACATAAACTCGGCGACTTCTGCTGTGAGGGCCATGTCCCCTGCCTCCTGAGGTGTCTGCTCACTGATTTCTATGCTGTTTTCTGTTGTGGTCAATGTGACTGGAACTCTGGGGAGCACGTGGGGGTATTTCTAAGTGGGAAGCATTACACTTTGCCCAATCATGTATTTATTCCTGATTAAAGTAAAACATGCTTATTTAATTTGGGACTACGGACCCGTGGATTGAGAACACACCTCCCTGGGATTTACAGGTTTTGGCTTCCAAAGAAGAGTTCAACCGGAAGGACAGACACAAAGACCAGCAAGAGATACCGTTATGTCTGGGGGGGTTGGTCCTCCTCTCACTCCATGTGAGTGGAGATGGGGGGCTCAAGAAGGAGAGAACTCTTGAGATCACCATGGTAACTATCATCGCATTGCTTGTGGCACTTGAGCTACTCAGTCTTCTGAGAATTTCCTTCTGTCACAGACATTATTTGGACACCTGCGCAACCTAACTGCTGAGGCTTGTGGCTGTGGAGGCCTCTGATGTCACACAGCAGGATGCCACTACTAACAAAGGGGACACCTTAAGAGGAAGAGGTGGTGGCGATAGGCCGGAAACAGCCGTTTCCATGCATCCTTGACTCTATGTGGGTTCTGAGGCAGGAGCAGCAGGTAGCTGCACACATGCATCCTTGACTCTATGTGGGTTCTGAGGCAGGAGCAGCAGGTAGCTGCACACAGATTTTGGAAGCACAGCCCAGGCAACAAGCCAGCTGGGCAGGTCCTGCAGGCTTGAGCAAGTCTGCAGGTTGAAGGCTCCAAGAGACCAAAGGGCTGCATGGTTGAGCCTGAGGGGCAGGGGCATTAGAAGCATCATCCAGAGGGGGGAGTCCGCAGGCCCTGAGTGGGTAGAGCTTAGCCTGGGTATGGGACGAAGGCAGATTGGGAAGGATGTAAATAGCAGAGCCATAACTGCTCGCTGGGTCCTCTGAAAGATCAACTGGATGCTGAGTTCTGGAAATTCCAGCATCATATTGCCTGTGAGACACATGGTTCTAAGAGCACGTGGCCTAAAAGTAAAGAGGGCATCCAAGAAAGGGAAGACTCCATCAAGTCCCAGGCCCACACTCTACTTGGAAAGGAGGCTGAGGAAGAGGATCCCTGTATGGAAGGGGTTCTATGGAGGAATGCACTGGTGCATTTATGAAACTATTTTTTTATCACGGGGCTCAGGTGATCCCTATGCGTGTGTGGAAGGTTTTTTTTCATGGAGAGAAATGAATACAATGAAAACTTTTGCTACACGCTGAATAAACTGAAATGTAAGATGAGAAATGATCGCAAAATGCTACTTACAAGAAAATCGGTCCAGGGAGAAGGCAGATGGCTTGCAACATGAAAATGACACTGTTTTTACAATATGTTAAACAACCATTGAAGGTGCATCAGAGGACACCTTGCTGGAGGACGAGAAACAAAATTCCATGATCTAAAGTCTTAAAGAATCCTTGAGTAAAGGATCCTGGGCACAAGGGGAAGTGCTTAGAGAAAAATGGAATTTTCTGTTTTTCAAGAGGGGATTTTATTTCTTCAGGTGTAGTGTGCATCAGAAAATAAAGACTGAGAAGCAGCGAACTCAGCTTCTGACTGGAGAGCTCAGAGGTGACACAGTTCACAGGGACAGTAAAGCAAGGGGCAGGTGTTAGGAGTTTCCTTTTTAAAATAGCTACAAGTTAGATTTTACGGAGGCTTTGAGATGAGTACTCAAAGCCAACACAATCAAGAAAGATGGAGCATAAACAAACGTCCAGCGACTCTCAAGGACGAGAAGAGACCTGCTGAGGACATTCATCACAAGCTGGAGGTCAGCATGGTCCTTCCTCCACTCCAAGCCTCTGATATCTGCACCCTCCCACTGCTTAGGGCCAGCCCTGCCAGTGAGGATTAGGCCACTGGGGTGGCAGAGAAGCTGCCATAAGAAACTAATGTCTTGAGTGTACTACGACAGATGCTGTCTTAGGTAGGCTTTAGATTTCTGTGAGGAGACACCGCATCCACAGCAACTCATACAAAGGAAAGCATTTCCATTGGGCTGGCTTAAGAGAGGTTTAGCCCATTGTCAGCATGGTGGCATACAAGCAGGCATAGTGCGGGAGAGGAGCTGAGAGTTCTACATCCAGATCGGCAGGCAGCAGGAAGAGAGAGCGAGCCACTGGGCCTGGCTTGAGCATCTGAAACCTCAAAGCCCACTCCCCAGTGACACACTTTCTCCAATAAGGCTACACCTCCTAATTCTTATAAATAAGCCACTCCGTATGAACCTATGGGGGCCATTTTCATTCAAATGACCACAGAAACCCAGTTTCTCATCTTACAAAGTGCCAAAAAAGAAAAGAGGTAGGAAGGAAGGAAGGAAGGAAGGAAGGAAGGAAGGAAGGAAGGAAGGAAGGAAGGAAGGAAGAGACTGTGCTCCGAGGTCCTTGGTGCTGTGTCTCTGTGTCACTCTGTCTGAGAAATGAGCAAGACACTCATTACCCGCCGACTATGGGGAAAGCTTCACAGAAAATTCAATGTACCCAGCAGGCCAGACATTCAAATCAGTTAGAGCTAGCGGCATTTCTGAGTCATCTTGTTCCTGAACACAGTATTAACCGTAATGATGTAGATTTACCCCTAAAATCACCAGATGAAATTCTATGAAGTTATACTCAAGTTCCCAGGAGAATTATTAGGACAAAGCAAACATCAGTCAAGTCATTTGGAAGTCCATACAGAAATATCTGTGCTCACAGCTGGTCGGGCCAATTTAGAATGAAACCAACTAAAAGACACACTCCCACTACTTGACAGACATCAACCACAGGCAACGCTGTCTGGGAGACCATGTCACCACCCTCTTGCCATGTCCTGGATGTTGGTTGTGTCCTACAAGCCAGAGGTGATGCTAAGTGGCAGGAGCCTGGTAAGACAGTTAAAGTCATAAAGAACAGATGTGCTTAGCCATGATAGAACTAGAACCACACTTGCTGGGGAAAATGGCACTGTAGAACCAGACAGGAGGCTGGAGAGATGGCTGGGTGTTAAAGAGTACTGGCTGCTTTTCCAGAGGACCTGGAATCAGTTTCCAGCGCTTGCACAACGGCTCACAGTTACCTGCAACTTCAGTTCTAGGGGGACACAACACCCTCTTCCGGTCTTTGCGGGCAGAGAGACACACCTAGATAAAATACCCATATACATAAACTAAAATAAACATTAGGCAGAATTCCTCAAAGCTGATAGCTAGGAATCTTGTTGCCAATGGAAACTTCGCTCTGCGCTGGGAGATGGAGAGGGATGGGAGCCTCAGAAAAAGAGATTTCCAGTGACCTAACACACACTGTCCACTGAGCAGAGACAGAAAGGCCAACAGGGCTGTGTGAACTTTTAAATGACCCATGACGTGAGGTCAACCACAAAAGTGTTGCATCATCTCCATAGCTATTCTCGGACACGTGTGTCCTACAGGCTCTGAGGTTTGACACACCAGGCCACTTTCTTTTCTTTTCTTTCTTTCTTTCTTTCTTTCTTTCTTTCTTTCTTTCTTTTTTTTTTTTTTGGTTTTTCAAGAAAGGGTTTCTCTGTATTATTTTGGAAGGTCCTGGAACTCACTCTTTAGTCCAGGATGGCCTCGAACTCACAGAGATCCGCCTGCCTTTGCCTCCCGAGTGCTGGGTTTAAGGGCGTGTGCCACCAACGCCCAGCCCAGGTCACTTTCTGGGATCTGTGATAGCCATGGTCACAGGGGAATGGAGCAGGGAAAGAGGTAGATTCAGTTGGAGTCAGGAACCTGACCGGGAAAGCAATAGTCCTCAGGAAATGTTGGAGGCAGTGGGGGGCAGTTTTCCTACTGTCAAGCACAGAGCCTCTTCTCCCTCCCTGGAAACCTGGCCTAGAATCCAGCTCTGTGGCATGTGTGGCTGCATCAGTTCTCCAACCTGGCCCCAGGCAAGTAAGCTGTCCTGGGTGTTTTTTGGGTGGCGGTGACTTCCCTTGGACTGGGAACTTTCTTGAGTGGGCGGGGCCTTTGGAATCATATACCCAACAGCTTCTGACAACATTGGACACTAGAATTAGACATACTGATTTTTCCGTTTTTAAAATTTAAATCAGAAACAAGTTTGTTTTACATGTCAATCCCAGTTCCCTCTCCCTCCCCTCCTCCCCTGTCCCCTACTGACTCCCTATCCCATCCTCTTTCTGCTCCCCAGGGTGAGGGTGAGGCCTTCCACGGGGGAATCTTTAAAGTCAGACATACTGATTTTACAGGTAAAAAGATATAAGGTGAAGGGTTTTGTTCATAGATCGTAATTCAGACCTCCCTGGTCCTAGTTGGACCACTTTCTAGTACATCTTTGAATGCTGAGAAGAGCTCGTTACCAGAGGAGCAGCCTCATAATGTGGGAAAACAGAGGATTTGGTTTTAGGTCTTGATCCCTCATGAAGTTCCTTCTTTGGCATGTGTTCTTTGGTAAGTCACTGAATTTCTCTAAGCCTCAGATTTCTTATCTCTAGTTAGAAAATAAAATAAAGACCCGTGCCAGCCAGTGGAAGGAATCTGAGATAAGATAGTGACTTCTTTTTTTTTTTTTTTTGGCAAGTATGGTGCACTAAATATAGATTGTTAACCATCAGCACAGCAGCTTCTCTTGATGGATATTCAAATAGTCCCAGGCCCAGGATTTGCAGAAAGCCGTTCTATCTTAGTCGAGAATAAACTGGCAGCTCCCACTCCTACCCCAAACATCTGTTGGTAAAGAACACTTTAAAGGCTGCTAATACATTGAAACAGTTCTGTTTGCTCGGTCCCAAATAAGCTCACATGGTCCCAAGGACTTCTGGGAGTGGTTGTAAAAGCTGTTTCCAAATGCATAAAACAGACGGAGGGTTATTTTTAAATTCACCACCATTTGGTTCTGAAATTCCCCAGACACTTTAAACTCCCGCAAAAAAAAAAAAAAAAAGAGTCTGCCTTCTGGGCACACTGAAGGCATTTTAGCATCACCAAGGTCCTGACAAGTCCCTGTCAACACAGGGCACTGGAGGAACCCACCCCTCCAGGGTCAGCCTGGAGCACAGAAGACCTGAGTTGAATGCCAAGAATTAGGAGGTGTTCCTACCCCAAGCTCTCTCCTAGGTAGATCCACCTCAGAGAGTCAGAGGGAAAAACAGTGGACCCCAGGGCAAGAGGCACAAGAAAAGCACTGCAGGAAGGACCAGGTTCCCAGGGATCCCTGGGTCTCTGAGGTCACCAGGTCACCTGCTCATTTGTTTGCACGCCAGTGCCGTGTGCTCAGTTCAAGGTGTGCTGAGCTGGGCGCCAGAGCCCTGGAGTACAAGACACGTCGGTCACTGCTTTCCAGGGGCTAGGCACGTCGCAGACGCTGAGCCGGCACTGAAAGCAATCAGACGCATGGAAATGGGAACACCTGCAGTACAGACGATGATTGTGCAGCACACGCCATAGGAAGAGCTTGGCGTTGAGCTCCAAAATCTGGAAGTTCTTTTTAAATGACGAGTGGGTGGGGAAAGAGGTAAGGGGGGTGTTCCTTGTGAATGAAACTATCTGCACAGGTATGGGAAAAGCCCAAGGGACGGGAAACCCCTCTGCAGCTCCAAGAGGGAGAGAGGGAGGGGGGGTTCTTCTCTCTGTCATGGACAGAGACAATACCAGCTAGCATCAGTTATGGCCAAGCAGTGACATTCTCCTCCCTCGTAATCAAAGGTGTGGCTCCCAGAAGGGATGGGTGAAGCTGGAGTACAGTATTAGAATTATGGGCAGAGGCAGGTTTATGCGGGTTTGAGCTTCAGATTTTAGTTTAAGTGGCCCTCTGTCTCTGCTTGTTTCTGTGTGTGTATTTGTGTGTGTGTGTGTGTGTGTGTGTGTGTGCTACTGCGTGTGTAGGTTCACTTGTGTGCCTGTACATCTGGAAGCAAGAGGAGACTCTTGGGTGTCATTCCCTAAGCGCTGCTCATTAGTTGGTGGTGGTGTGTTTTGTAATTGAGATAGGGTATTACACTGGTCTGATCTTGCCAAGTAAACTAGGCTGGACAGTGAGTCTGGGTTGGAGTGGTGTCCTCCTCCCAGGTTCTGGGAATATAGGCATTCACTACTACATCCAAGTTTTTACAGGATCCATATTTTTGTGGATTTTTTTCTACACAGGTTCTGGATTTAGTGACCGAGTCATTGGCCCACCACCTCCATCTTTCCTTCACTCAGGCTCCTGGAAGTCTCCAGTAGCTACTTCTCTGCCTGAAATTTCCACTTCTTAAAGTCTCTCTTCATTCAGTTCTAAGGGAAGCTCCCAAGATGGGATCTCAAACCATGTAAAAGTCTTGGATGTACCACTTGCTCCCAGAAGCCCTACCCACGGTAGCCAAAAGGAATATAATGGATGTCTATTGACAGGTGAATGGTTGGATGCAAAAACTGGTCTATGCCCACCATGGAATATTGCTCATATCCAAAGCCAAAGGATTTATAAAACAGACCACGTTCTTGGTAAACCTTAAAGATGGTATGCTACATGAAATGCACAAATTATGAACAGCTGTGTTTCCACCAATATGACATTCTAGAGTAGACAAAATCAGAGATCAGCAGAGAGAGCCTTCCTGAGGCTTTGGGGATACGAAAGTG